CTTTCCCTAGCTGTCATCTCCTTTCCCTCCTAAACAAGGCAGATCAAAGGGCTGATATCCCACATGAGTTCTACTTGGGAGAATGGATGTGAGCTCTGACCATTGGCCCTTTGTGTGAGGCATTAGGAATACAAAAAGAAATGAAGATCAACACAGGAAAGCCGCTGCATTCCCTACTGTTTATTTCTCTGCTGTTGTCAGGACACGTGCCCATTTACCTTTTAAATAGGAGTTGCAAACTCAAATATCTCTAGAAGACAAGGAGGTATCTGTAAATGTTAAAGGCTGGTGCGAGAAAACTAGGGAAATACGAGGGTTGGTTGGGTGGACAGCGACCGCCCCATCTAAAGGTGGCAGGGCCAGATCTTTATATTTTTTAGGAGAAGCAGGAAGTCGAAACTTTTTTACAGCACTTTTGAGTTACAATTGACATACAGTAAATTGCACATATTTAAAGTGTACAATTTGATGTTTTGACATATGCATACAACTAAGAAACTGTCATCATGATAAAGATAGTGACCATACCACCCCCAAAAGTTTCCTCATGTTTCTCTTAATCCCTCCCTCTGGTCTTTCCCTGCCCTATCCGCCTCATCCCCAGGCAACCATTTATGTGCTCTGTCACTAAAGATTAGTTTGAATTATATATAAATGGAATCAAACAGTATGTACTCTTTTTTTAACCTGGCTTCTCCCACTCAATCTAATTATTTGGAGATTTATCCAGACTGCTGCATACATCACTTTTTTAGTGCTCAGTAGTAATCCATTGTATGGATGTACCACAGTTTGTTTACCCATCTATTTGTTGATGGACATATGAATTGTCTTCTGTTTTTGGCTAACACAAATAAAGCCACTATGAACATTGGTGGACAAGTCTTTGTACAGGTGTATGCTTTCACTTCTCTTGGGAAAACACCTAGCTGTGGAATGCCTCGGTCACATAGTAGCTTTTAAAAAACTACCAAACTGTTATCCAAAGTGGTTGTACCATTCTACCTACCTACCATATCCTGGCTAACACTTGATATAGTCACTATTTTTAATTTCAGCCGTTTTGGTGGGGATATAATGGTGTCTCATTGTGGTTTTAATTATATTTTGAGCCGCAGATCATGCACAACAGCAAAAGTATTCATGTATTTGTGGGGGTGGAGAGTAGAGCTTGTTTACAGCTTTATTGACATAACTTAAAATAAAATGAATCACTTATAACCTTGCTTTTTGACAGCTATTCTTATAATTTTGAAATAGCAACATGTCTCTAGAAAAAGGAGAAACTTTGTACAGCAGGAAATTAAAGAATAATCAACTTGCTTTATAATCAAGAACACATCCCTCCTCTTCTAAACTGTGGAACGTCTTGTAGACCATTAAATGATACCATATGTGTCACGTCAATTAGACCAATGTTCTACTATACTTACACAGTAGATAGCTCAGTATAACCCCAGGAATGTAACTTCCCAAGATCGTAAAAAAGGTGCATACACTGCAGACCAGGAGACAAAACTAAAAATAATAGAAGCAACATGTGACAGTTATACATAACATCAAGATACTTTAGAGCACAGGATACACACAAAATTATTGATCTATATGCCATCTATCATGTTATGGCAAATGTTTTTCAAACAGTGTTCTCTGCACTTAGATCTGACTAATGACTGCTGTGTTCAACCAGCCTTAGCCCACTTTAACATTAAGTGATAATCATTTTGAAGGTTCCAGAAGCTAACCTCTGGCACAGAGAACATCTCCCGTTAATCATGCCCGCAGCTGTATCACCAGATGCAAGAGACCTGAAGAATAGTATGTACCCAGAAACTTGTTTTACTCAGGGTCACTCGCTGAAAACAATGCAGCCCAGTAACAAAATCTGTAGGTTCAAACTGTTTCTATAAATCCACAGAAATTCATAAACACAGCAAAACATGTTGCATATAACAGTAATTCGCACAGCTGATAAGCAGCCGGGATAAATCGACTGGCCATTACTATCCTCCTTCCTAACCATATCTGTTCGGCGAATGAAACTAAATTCCACCAGTGAAATTTGATTATTTTCTTTCTGTCAGTTGAAGCCAAAAGAATCTTGGTCGCTTTAAGTAAGTAAAACATCAAGACAGAAAAATTCTCCCATAAAGTCTTCACTTCTTTTTCACACTCTATTATTTAAAATAAACTATCTTAATTCTTTGCTTTACCTTTAAATTATGGTACTAAATTTCACTGAACAGCCAAGGAAATTCATTAAGGGAATTTCAAAAAGACACACAAGGAAACGATACAGAACTCTGATCAATAACTGATTAAGAGAAACAGCAAGGGGGTCTAAAATTCAGATTAACTTTGATTTTTCATTCTTGGCACAGGGTTAATAAATTCACTAGTCAAAAGGAAAACAAAATTAAGAGCTGTTTCTCAAACATCAGGGATCCTTGAAGAATACGGAATTCTAATAGCAAAATGGAAGAGGAAAGACCATAAAAGTTAAAAGAACAAATAAAAGCATTACTATATCCAGAATTCAGTTTCACAAAGGGATTTCACATTATCCACTAAATTTGTAGCATCGTTATCTTAGGTTAATTGACTAGGGGTATATTAATGCAACCCAATGCAGAAGTTTAAGTTCAGAATCTTCTAAAAATGTGTTTAATCATCTAAGTAAAATAAGCATCAAAAACACAAGTCGGGCTTCCCTGGTGGCGCAGTGCTTGAGGGTCCACCTGCCGATGCAGGGGGCGCGGGTTCGTGCCCCAGTCCGGGAGGATCCCGCGTGCCGCGAAGCGGCTGGGCCCGTGAGCCGTGGCCGCTGGGCCTGCGCGTCCGGAGCCTGTGCTCCGCGACGAGAGAGGCCATAGCAGTGAGAGGCCCACATCCCGGAAAAAAAAAAAAACAACACACAAGTCACTCCACCCCGCTACCATGTTGATATCTATTCTAAAAATCACCTTCAGTGATTAAAATAATTTATCCATATATAATGTTGCAACTTTAGTATGCTCAAAATGTGTCCAAATATAGTTCTATTACTCATTGAAGTTAGATTTCCTGTAACACGGTACAAAGAGAGGGATTTTAAATGAAGACATTCCTAGGTTCTTCCTTCCAACTACAGGTGGACATTCGTTTCCATAGCACTGGAAGGGAGGGGGTCTACTGATGGTTCTGTAGCTCACCCGTGCTGTCAAGATACAGTGGAGGCTGCCTCTACACATAAAAACCCTATAGTGGGCATTTCTTGTAACCCCTTTCAAACCACTCAACTCTCTCCTCGTGGGTTTTCATCTTTGTTGGAAAAATACTCATTCCATTTATATAATCACTGTGGATGTTTCTGCCAAAGATTTCCTTTCTTAAGTAAATCACACAAGAATCTCCACTTTTTAGACTGAAAGAGAGACTCAGTTACCTCCAAAAACACCCTCAAAGGGCTATGTGTTCCTTTGACTTGAGAACCAGCCTAGATGATATAAACTGAAATTCTTAATAACACGTTTTTATCCTTGGTCTGGCTGAGAGGACAAATCATCATTCATTTTAGTTAATAAGCTACATAAATATGGATAAAATAGAAATCCAATCCAATTTCAAAATATAAGGTTAAGGATTTTCTAGTGCTAACAACACTAACATTTCTGAACCTTGCTAATATCAGTTTTTATGGCACGTGTTCGTAGTGTATTATATTCAGAATTGGAGAACCCTTACAGGCTGATAAAATAGGTTACTTCATTTGTTTCCAAGTTTATTTCACATTTTAAAGCACACCCAGCATTCTCCTTTTCTGGAAAACTTGCCTTGCCAGGGCTCTGCTGTTTAAACAGAGACATTTCTTGAAGAAATATGCTGAAATTCATCCATGATTCTGCAAGACAGTGGCTGAGCCTGGGTCTTTCATCTGGTTTGGAATTGATAACTTCCCAGCTAAAGAGAGAAAAAGAAAACAAAAACTTTTAACTGAATTTTGGATGATTCACTCAACGTTTATCGCTTTAGCAGATATTCATTGAGCACCTCCTAGTGGCCACACTCTCTGGAAGAGCCGTGTGAATTCAGAGATGAACAAGCCAGACACCTGTCTAAGGAAGATCACAGGCCAAGGCAAGCAACGCCACGATTATCTGGTCACAACGAAGGAAAAATATAGGGTGGAGGCTCTGGGGCATCTTCTCTGAAGATGTCACTTTTATGCTATGATCTGGATTTGCACTATTTACCATAAAGGCTTGGAAGGGCTCCAGACAGAACAATGTACAGCATATGCAAGAGGTCCTGTTGTGAGAAGGAGCTAAAGCACCATTGGTCCCAGTATGGCTGCAGTAGAGCGAACCAGAGAATAGCATTGCAGGGAGCTGGGATGGTAGGAAGAAACCTGATCATACAGGGCCTTGTGGGATTGTCAGAAATGTTTTAAACCTTAAAGGTAGTAAAGCCACAGTACCTTTAAAGAAACCTTGGCTTTGATCTTATCATTATCCTCGTCATCAACACGAACAAAGCATTTTCAGTCCACAGTTGATCCTTGTACAGTGCTGCAGTTAACCCACGTATGTATAATTTATTGTTGGCCCTTCGTATCTGTGGTTCCTCTGCATCCACAAATTTAGCCAGCGACAGACCCTGTTGCACTGTAGAATTTACTACTGAAAAACATCCACTCTAAGTGGACCCACGCAGTTCAAACCCAGGTTGTTCAAGGGTCGACTGTATACTATGTTGGTCAACTCAGTAGAAAACTGTCAAACTCAACAGGATCTCACAATACCCCGTTTCTGTCTAGAGTATCTTTTTCCGATCATCATCATAGAACGTGCTGGATGTGGTGTGTGTGCCAGGCACGTGCTGTGTGTGGGTCCCCGCTTTCATCTTCCCACAGGAATGGTAGTGAGCTGAAAACTAGTAACAATCGCTCCAGGAAGAAGACATGCAAATACTGGGCACTTCCTGAAGTTACAATGCCATCAAGTTCAAATCCCACTCTTGCAATCCTAACTCATCACATAAATATACCAGCTCAAACAAGCTCTATTAAGGGCACCCAAATTCATTTATTACACAGATAATTTTAAACTAATGTGTCTAGTAGAGGACACACTGTTAGTGAAGTGTCATCTGAGCTATGACTGCAAGCGTGTCAGGGTGAGACTGATCTCTGGATTCAACTCCAGTAGCCCTGCGACAAATTAAAACTACTTTGGCCCTTAGATGCTCAACTACCCAGAAATTGTGTACATTTAGATTCTGTTTCTTTTTAATAAACTTTCGAATCAACATCAAGGAAATTGTAAATTAAATAATACATTTCCCTTTATAATATAAATTTTAAGTTATATTTAAAGGAGTGCAATAGCATTAAAAACGCCAAAAAAAAAAAAAAAAAGTAGTTCTTGTCCTTCCTCTTTGTTCTATCAGCCTCACACGAACCAATGCTCTGCCAGAGAGTCACTGAGCTGCCTGGTGTCCAGGCTGATGCTACTCCACGAGGTAGACATTTGCCAAATGATTTCCCAACTGTTGTAAGAAATGAACTTTTGGGGGCGTTTAGCTATCAGTTTATGCCTTCATTAAGTCCTCCCACGCTCGAACCACTGAGCAAGCCTGTTTACATTGGTGACCAAATCTAGCACTATGCATATCCTACGAATGATTCCAGACCGATTCCAGACCTATTAAAAGAAACACTAAGTTTTTATGTTACATATAGTGGCCACTATCTGTAACAAAATCTTGCCAGTATGTCAGCTTAATGGGAAAAGATTTTGTACAGGAGAATAAAAACTGAAATTGAACTGTGGCTTCCTTTCTAGAACAACATAGGCTTGTTACAAATTGGCAAGGGTAGGCTACTCTACTGCTCAGTGTATGACATAAATACAGATTTTAATTTCTGCTCTCTATGCATACTGAGTAGTATTTAAGGATTTGGTTAACCTGTCTGGCAAATATAATTCTAACAAAAATCAATGAAAAACTTATAATGGAACTGTTTATTATTATTTTAACAATTCCAATGGAATGGGTGAACATTTCGTATTTTGAAGCAAATTTAAAATATACTTCCATTAGGATAATGAACAAATAAAGTGAGTTGTGTTCAAAAATGAAAGATGGGCTTCCCTGGTGGCGCAGTGGTTAAGAATCCACCTGCCAATGCAGGGGACACGCGTTCGAGCCCTGGTCCAGGAAGATCCCACATGCGGCGGAGCAATTAAGCCCGTGCGCCCCCAACTACTGAGCCTGCGCTCTAGAGCCCGCGAGTCACAACTACTGAGCCTGCGTGCCACAACTACTGAAGCCCATGTGCCTAGACCCTGTGCCCTGCAACAAGAGAAGCCACCACAATGAGAAGCCCGCGCACCGCAATGAAGAGTAGCCCCTGCTCGCCGCAACTGGAGAAAGCCCGCACGCAGCAACGAAGACCCAACGCAGCCAAAAATAAATAAGTAAAAATAATAAAGTTCCCTTAAAATAAAACAAAGAAAGATGGAATGGGTATGAAGGAACTCAAACTCCATGTGCATACCTGAACCTCAGGATCATAATATTGAGAAAAACATCACAGAGGTATATACACAGCATGATTTCATTTATATAAAGCTCAAAATCACATTAAGCTAACAGATATTTAAGCAAGGAAATGATTAAAAAAAAAACCCCAAGATTCAGGAGAGGGGATA